TGCGGGAGCAACCGAAGCCCTGTGGCCTCCAGCTTGCAGCATGCCCATTTTTCTCCGGAATGCACCCAAAAGCTCAGTGCCGGGCTTTGGCCGTGCTGGCGGTGAGCGGGGTCTCAGGGTGCTGCTGGGTGGGACGGGCAGGGAAGCACAACTCCTGCCTCGGTCCCCGGGGCTGAGCCGTACCCTCCCGCAATGACGTCACTAATTTTGTCGGGATTAAAGGGAAATTAAAATTAATCCTCAGAGTCCAGGGAGATCTCTGAGGTTTAGCATTTTTTACCCAGATCGTTCATTATTTTTAGCAGATGCTTTTTATTTTTAGCTCCTTGCAAAGGCAGCAGGTACTCGAAATCCCTTCCCTGTCCCAGCGTCCTCGTCATTTATAGCGGGAGGAAGGATGCGGTGCCTGAGCAGCCCCAGCTCGGGCAGGAGGCCGATGGCCAGCAAAGGCACAGCAGGGCTCTGCTGAGGAAACACATGAACCAAAATGTTTTCATCATTACCTCAATTTAAAGCCCAACCAGCCTGCTGGGTGTCAGAGGAGCTGTTCTGCACTTGCGCCGGCACAGACAAGCTCAGAGCTCGGCCCCGTCTCCCTCCCTTCCATTACCATAATGCTCTTTCTTAAATCATTTTCCTGCGTCACATCTTTGCTTCCTTCATTTGCATTTTGTTAGTGAGAAATAAGCACTTTCTATCAACAGAGGAAAAAAAAAAAAATCTTTTCTATTTTCCTCCCCTGCCGCTGCCTTACTGCGATGGGGGAGAGATTCATGGGGTGTGGGGAGAGCCAGGCCAGCAGCTGCCTGCGCCTGGCCGAGCAAATCCGGAGGTGAAATCTGCAGGAACTTGGATTTTTTTTAAGTACCTGGATCTTTGCAACTGCTTGTGAAAAAATTCCTACTGCTATCAGGGAAGATAAAAACTGACTGGGGCTGGCTGCCCCAGCCAAAGCTCCTCAGAAAGGAGAAAATTAAGACCTGCCTGTTAATCAACCATAAAAAATTCAAGTGCTGTCATGCTGTGAAACGCTGCTGTGAATGTTTTGCACCCGCAGTTGCTGGTGGCCCCGTGGGACCCCACTGCTTCGGCACCACGGCGAAATGGGGGCCCTCTGTGCCATGGGGGTGTTGCAGGAGGGGGATGCTCTCAGCTCTTTTAATAACATCCGTGGGCAAGGGGAGAAGCAAGGGCTCCTTCACCAAAATAACCTGAATTTAGAGGCACAGGGTGGCTGCACCTCCTTAAAGTTGCCGCGTGTGCTGCCGGGGTTGAATCAGGCCAGTAATGACCATCAACCTGCCCGCTGCTCCGACCGGGGGCTGCTTATCTGAGCAGGGTGCTTGGCATCCTTTAAGATAAATCCTTTGCTGCAACCGGCCTCTCAGCATCCTGGAAACTGGAACAAAAAACCCAAGGTTAATATTTAATTAGACATATTCTTTCCTTTGGCTCTCAGCAACCTTGCGAGGTGTTTGACACTAGAGCAGATCACAGCAGCCCCCAGGATTTGGCTTTATTTTCACAAGGTTTGCAGAGGCAGGAGGTGCACACAGGGCTGCGTCGGTCTCGGCGTGAGACGGGAGCGGGTGAAGCTGCACGAGGCTTCGCCCAAAAATGCAAATCCTCTCCCCGCCGCGTCCAGCTCGGCACAAAGATGCTCTAAGCTGGCACACGAGGGCTGCGCTTTGCCTGGCATCCTGCATCAGACAGCGGAAAAAATATATGGATGCCAGTGCTCGGCTGTGCAGGGACCTTAATTAAATCACTTCCAGCTTGATTCAGTAACGAGCCCCGCACTGGCATGCACCGCTTCCAAATTCCACTTGTAACCCACCGCTGCTGCTCCCTCTTAAAGAAATAAGTTGCTGGGGCCCTGGGGGGATTAGTGGGCGCCCAGCTCTGCTCCCGATGCACGTCCGAGGGCGTGGGAAGGGGTGAGCAGAGTGGCACCGGCTTCGCCACAGCCAGGGGCGAGGAGAGGAAGCTCAGGGGTTCGCCAAAAGCCGCAGGGCACGGCCGCGGCCGAGCGGGAGCATCTGCCAGCAGCTGGGCGCGTTCCTCAAAGGAGCAGAGCGTCATTTTTGGGGGGTAGCAGCAAACTAACTCTTCATATTTTGCAGACCGCTCCTGCGTTGCTCTGCAGGCCGTCCCTGTACGTTGGTCACCACGGATTTGTTGAGGGGGAGCCTGGTGTCGGCGTCCCTGTGGCAGGACGCTACCGGGCACGAACCGAACCCGTCCCCTTGCAGAGCTCTGCTGTGTTTGCACCCCAGGGGACCGGCATCGTTCCCTCTCCCTGCGTAACATGGGCTGCGCGTGACTTGCCCCGCAGCCCCGGACGCTGATTTAATAGATCACTGGAGAGCAGTTGCTTCAGCCGGGGACCGTGAGTGCGAGTCCTACGCTGGCCAAGTGAGAGTTGCACAACGGTGATGATGGCAGTGCTGTCATCCCCCGGGGCCGTGACCGGGGGGTCCTTGGGCTTTGCTCGGCCGCGCGGCGCGTGGGGATGGCCGGTGGCATCGCAGGGACCTCGGCCGTGCAGCACGAGGGACGCCCCGGGCTCCTCTTCGCCGAACGCGCCATACCCTCGGGTGCCGGGTGGCGCGGAAGATTGATTTCTTGATTAAAGTCTAACGCGTGGTATAATTAAGGAAATCCTCCCGGTTCAGAAAGTCATGAGGAGATGGTTAATTGGGATGAGGCTGGGAGCTGCCTCCTGCAGCGGAGCAGGCGTGTGGCTGCCGTACCCCAAGGACCCCACGGCAGCCGGGTCGTTGGCAGACACGGGGTGACGCTTGGGCTTGCTCTGCAAACCCAGCCCAGGCTCTCTCTGCAAACCCAGCCCAGCGAGCGGAGTTTGAGATCCCTCTCCGTCACTATTTACACTGCTTCCATGAACAGTTTAAAGCCATTAACTTCAAAACATTTAATTAAACGAAATGGTCACACTCAAGCTGCAGAGTCCCCGAAAGCCAGGGCGGGCAGCTCCTTCGCGAAGCGATCCATCCCACGCTGCTGTCACAGTGGGATCCATCCTGCCGGGGCCGTGCCCATCCTGCCACCTCTTAGACACCCATAACGCAGTCCCGACCAGAACATGTTGCTTCTTGTCCCTGATAATCTCTCCAGTTGTTGCGTTTGTTTTATTCGTGACGATAAGAGCGGAGGCAGCAGGCTGCTCTGAGGGTCTTCTCGTTGGCTTGCAGAGAGATGTCGGATTAATGCAGACATCTGAAATTCATGCTAGGGACTGGTGTCTGCGTCACAAACTGCTTTTATTCTCGAAATGTTAATTGAATACTAAACTGTAGATCTGTCAAATAGATTGGGTGAAAAGATCAATTCGCATTAGATAGAGGAGGCCATGTTTCAAGACAGAAACAAAGAATTAGGGAAAATCAGTAATTCAGCCCGTCAGTGTGCACCAGTGCAATTTATTAACGTGTATCAGACATGTCTGATGAGCTTTGCATGTGAAAATTATTATGGATGGAGGAAATTTTGGTCACACATCTGCTTTAGTGCATTGTTTGTAAAGAGTTCAGCTACACTTGACATTTAAATGTAGGGTAATTTAGGCCCAATGGTTGAGTATTGGATGCGGGAAAGCATCATTCTGCAGTTCAGTAGTAAGAGTTGTAGGGGTTTTTTGTTTGTTTTCATTCTTTTGAGAGGGGAGGTGGAGCCTGGAGAGCTGGAGATGTGCCTGAGCACGGCGCTCGTAGGGCAGGGGTGCTGAGGCACCTCCGATTGTAGCTTTATTTATGGCCGCACTGAAATTGTGTTTAGATGGTTTTAAGTAATGGGTTTAATGAGCTGCGTGCGCCCCACGATCGCCCCTCTCCCTCCTGCTGCATTCCCAAAGGGCACCAAAAGGTGCTCAGGGCTGCAGGGGCTGATCTTTCCCAGGCACTGATTGCAGTTTGCTAATTAACCTTCTCTTCTCATAAAACTGCAGCAGGGAAGAAGATGCCCTGCTTTGCCAGCCCGCCCTCCCTCGTGCCCTGCAGGGTTGTTTTTCAGTGCAAGTTAAGGAAAATAAAAAAATGAAACATTAGAGGGTAAAATTAAAGGTACTGTGAAAAATGCATCACTCCAGCAAACAACAGCAGCAATTACATCTGCAGTCTCGTCCTGCCCAAAGGACGATGCAGTCTGGATGCTGCTGGTCACGCCGGCTAACGTGTGTCCTGGAAGTGATTTACATTTTACATTTTACGTTGCTGTAAACGTCACGGCTGGCTGAAACGCCCCAGCGTTACGCCAAGCCACGGAACAAAACCACAATCGTGTCTCTGGATGCTGTTGGTGGAGGGCTAGGGGGGGTGTGGTGAGGGTGGGAATCCCAAAATTAGGCTGAAATCTCTGTTATGCACATCCAGGGCGAAGCGGCTGCTCGTGTGATGGGGACGCACGCCCTAAGGACAGAGCATACGTACCTGCTGTAAGAGGCAGATTTCCAGTGAGCCATTGGGATCTGGTTTCCACATCTTATGAAATGGCATTAAAAATGACTGCAGGGGGTGCCTGGGGTTGTTCTGGGGGGGTTTCCATCCCTTCCAGAGCTCAGTGGGGAGGAGGGGATCTGTGTCTATGTGTTTGCACTGGAATGAGCTTGCAAAATATCCACTTATTTGGAAAACAGGGGGCTTTGTCATCTTCCCCATGACATGGGGCTCTCCAGCACCCCAATCCTGTGACTCTGGGCAATGGGTAAATCAAACCCACTCAATATATCCTCATTACTCGCTCCCCACCAGAGCTGGTGCGCACACCTGCCTCGGCAGCACCCCTGCGTTGTTTTCCACTGCTGTGGGTCCTTTCAACCTTCCAGGTGCCTTCTTGCAAGCCACACGCACCAAGGGCATTTCTGACCATCAGCAGGGTGGATCTGGTGCTGAAATGGCTGTATTTCAGAAAACGAGAGTGAGATCAAGTGGCCCCAGGAGGTGCCCCGCGGCCTCTGTTCCTATTTTCTGTCTGTCACGCAGCAGCGGGTTGAAAGGCAGCAGTTTATGTCCAGTTAATACAATCAGGAGAGCATCACTCAGCGATTCCCACTGCACTTCGCTGCCGGGTACAAAATGTCCTGGACCTGGTGAAATTCTGACCCGAAGCATTTGGAGAAGCATTTCTGGAGGGCAGCGGGTCGCCCGACGCTGCCCAGCTCCGACGGGGAGATACAAGAGGAGCTGGTGAGTCTCTCCATCTCGGGCTGCTGTTTGGTTCCTCGGGGAACAGATTGCTTGAAGGGCTGCGACCATCCTGCTCTATCCCAGCGCAGCCCGTGCGTGTTGGGCGTGCACCGTCCCTTCCCCATGCAGGTCCTCCCCAAACCTGGGAGGGAAGCCTGTGCCCTGAGGAGCGGTGGGGAGGCCCCTGCTTTGGGGTCGTTCTGGGGTTTTTAAGGATGGGGTTTATCCCACAGAGTGAGGAGACACCCCCCCCCCCCGGAGCTGTGACGGGTGATGCTCCCCTCCGAGATGCCCCAGGGCCGGTGAAGGGTCCCGGGCAGGAGGCGTGGGGCAGGCAGGGGCTTCCCTGCTGTCGGCTGGGCTCTTGCTCCTCTGAAAGCTTTACAGATACATAAACCCTGCATTTTCTGCTTGCTTTTTTGGAGATAAATAAGGGTGGGAGTGGAAAGCAGCCACGCAGCCACGTTGCTGCTCAAAGGCAGGGTGCAGGAAGCTGCCTTTTGACCTCACATTGCATCTGAAGTACACGCTGGAAGGAGAGGCCTGAAAACAAATGACAGTAATCAGTGCGAGACGGGATCAAAGAAACACTCTGCAGTAAAAAGCTTGGTGAAAAATCACTTGAATCACAAGCATATGGGTGGCCACTGAAGAAAGGGGGAAAATATGACAATTTTTTTTGTTCACTTTTTTTTAAACAAAAGATAAACCAGAATCCAACTGCATCACCCCCTGTACTTGCCAGTGGTTTAAAATCCACAGCACATGGTGAGCTGAGCCAGTGCAGAGCCCGATGCTGTAAGGTGTGGGACCAACAATCAATAATTCCCTTTTTTTAAGGTCATTATGAACCATCGTACCGGAGTGTACTGCTGTGTCTCAGTTAAGCATCTTGGAGTGCAGGAGAAGGGGGGAAAAAAAGATACAAAATCCTTGTCAGCACAGAGATTCACCCAGGGTTTTCTCCGTGATGGAGAAGATTTAAATCCTGGAGTGAGTGATAGATTCAGGTGGCAAATCTGCTGGAAAGAAGCCAAGGGCTGGTGGTCCCAGTGGTGCCAGGGAGGAGCAGGATGCAGCACTGCAATACCAGTGACAGATCGAACGGACCCACGTGCTGCAAAAGGACCTAATCCCAGATGCAGGCTGTGTTTTCAAGGTCATGATGTTCTGCTTCAGGGTGTAGGGAATAGTATTTCAGAGCTTTTCCCAATTAAGGGACGTATCAGCAGCAGGCCCGAATATCTCCTTGGCTTTTTGCTGCCTTTTGCCTGATCTTGGAATATTATTCCAGAGGCTCGTGTCTTTCTTTAAGCCAGGAAACCTGGACTTTATATAAACTCTGAGAGACACCCGCCTTACAGGATAGTAAGTAAAAACTGGGTGTTTGCTGTAAGGTGTTTCATACATGGTGAAAGAAAAGCTGTGCTGGAGGTGGGTGTCTGCCTTGTCTGGACTGGGCTGGATCCAGCACTGGACCACCAAGGTCTCAGGAGCTTCAGGTTCTACCTGGGCTGTTTAATGAGAAGGCCAGGCAGGGCACAAAGGTCCACCATGCGAAAAATAGCTAATGCTCACCCAACCCTGGCAGTGAGACAAGGATGTATTTTCAGGTGTCAAATGTACTTTGAGATTCATACACTCAGTTGTGTTAAATACCAAGATTCTTACTCCAAAAAATCTGTAAACTAACCAGTTCAAGAACTCTCCTAGCTGCTATGTACATATGCAGGGAACACAGTGCACAGCATCAGCTGTCAGAGAGTAAATCTTGTTCAAATACAGCAAAACATACAGTTCTTATGCTGAAGTCATTAAATCTTTGGCTAAACTAAAAAGGCAGAGTGAATAATGTTTTTAATATGCTTAGGAAATCCTCCATGTCGGATGAGATCAGAAGAGGCCATTAGTGGGGATGGATGGGGATTCTTCTCCAAAGGCCGATACTGAGTAATTGCAATTCTATAAACAGAGCATCACTTTAAAAATTCAATAATTTACCCAGTATCTGGGGAAGCATCAAAACTTGGTGTTTAATGTAAAGGTAGATGAATGGAAAATAATTAGGACCCTTACAGTTCCACACTTATTTTTTTAATCTATATTGTACTTGAGCCAGTATATATTTAATGGGTATATTCTGCAGTAATGGGCATGGTATTGTCAAATTCCATTCACGCTTGGGGACCAGCCTTCACCAGCTTTGTTCTTTTGAATTAAAGGACAGAGACAGGCCTTTTTCTGAATATACTCAGTTTTCATACAAGCCTAAAAATCTTCTTGCTTTACAAATTAGATTTTTTTTTTTTTACATCAAATTGCAGCAAAAAACACAGCAAAACCTGTAACTTAATATAATACTTAACATAGAAAGTTAGTGTAGGTTTTTAGTAGCTCCTAACAGCAGAGGAGCATTCAAGTGGCTCTCAAGCATCAGTTAACCCTCAAAACACCGCTGAAGTCCACAAGTGTTGTGATAACAATTTTATGGGGAGCAAAGAGGTGGGTCAACTCATTCACCAATCCATGAATATGTCTCCAGGTACCTTCCCAGATTAGCTGTCAGTCAACCAGCAACGTCTCCTTCATTTAATATTGTGCTATAAATCCCAGCGTTCAGTTTAAGAAGTGAGTCTCTGCTGGGCTAGCTGTTGTCCTTGCTAGTAATGGACTCAAGCTGCAAAAATTGCATTCAAAGCTCAGAGCTGTTTGGATTGAGGGTTTTAGTTCGCCTGTTATAAAAATAAGAAACAGATGGGATTTGCAGGCCTGATTCGGACTCCACGCTTCCTATAAGATCAGTATTGTTTAAGTCAAATCAGATTTTAAGTCTGATTCATTTCTGCCTGTGCCTGCCTACCTGTTGTACAAATGGCACATGCCAGCACAAAGTATCCCCAGGACTGGAATTCTTAAAACACTAAGTATATTCTGTGTATCTCAGAAAAGAAATATTACTACTGGTTCTGCAAGTGATGTGAAATTAGTGGCAATTGGAAATGTTTGTAGTTAGGGCCAGAAAGGTCCTTAACATGCATTTATACATCAAAGTTCCTGCATTTTTAGAACTTTATAGTTGAGGACTGTACAGTATTCCTTCTTCATCTAATAAGGGATCTGTGAAACACATGGAAGGGCAGGGCTTGGTATTCTTAGCAATTTACACAAAAAGAGCATCTTTTCTCCATTTGTTGTAGATTCTGCTCTCTGAGGCAGACGGATTCTGCTGGGACAGCTTACCAAAGGAAGCTGTGGCTTCGTCATCTTTTCACATTGAGTCTAGGTATCTTCCGTTTGGAAGCATCACATCAGCTGAACAAATTACTAAATTTAGTAGTGAAATAACAGGCTCAAATTGCATTTTGCAGAAGGTCAGATTACAGCATTTAATGGTCCTTCCTGGCTTCCAAATCTAAATGCCATTTAAAATAAGGCTGTTGAGCATCTTACAGTCTACAGTGGTGTACAACTGTCCGCAGTTTGCCCTTGTGTGTCGTTCAGCAGCAACAACATAGAAATTCCACAATTCTTTATTCCTGATGACTTGTGGAGATGCTTTTAGCTGGAAAGAGAGATTTAGAGAAGTGTAGTGTTAAAGATTCACAGACAGGTGTTGCCTCAAATGCTGTGCAACTAGTATCCGCGCCAACAGATCGGCAAATCATGGGCAAAATAAATAAGATGCCGTTTGCAGGGTGTCTATTCAACAGGCCTGCTGCTTTTGTCATGGATGCACAAAATCAGAGTATCGAATAAGAAAGCACTTTAATGTTGGTTGTGCCTAGCTGCCAGACCAGCTGAGACAAGGGCAATGCCTGGGGACACAGCAGCCGTGATGCTGCAGAGAATAAAGAGCTAAGGAGGGCAAATGTTTGGTCTATAAAGGCTCCCAGCCTAATGTAGGATTAGTGGCAAGAAAATGGACTGGGCATTAAAATTCATGAAGAAGTACAATTTAAGATCCATGAATAACAGGGCCACAATTATGCAGGACCGGGGATTTGGTTTTGTTTTTGTTTTTCCAGAGCTGGTGGAAGAAATGAAATCATTACCAGGACCTGTATGGCTGCCGTGTGCTCTGCCCTTGTCGCCGGATGCTGCGGACACCCACAGTTGATGATACCGAAGGGTTAAACACAGGGACAAGAGGAAATTGGGAAATTCAACCTCTGGTCTGTGGATTCGCAGGCAAAATACACGAGTTGTTTTTTTGGTGGTCTGTTTGGTCGACCTGTCTCCTTGACCCTGGATCTCAAGGCCGAGTCTCTGGTAAGGAGGAGCTTCAGTGCTGGTTGGGTCTGGGCAGATCTCTTAACCGGGGATGTGGCACTTGGGCTCTCACTTCCAACACCCGCCGTGACACACGTAACCTTGGGCAAGTCAATCTCCTGGAGCCCAGCTCCCCCCTACAAAACAAGCTGACCCCAGAGGAGTGTCAGGGATGAGGTTATTACTGACTTGGGAGGTGTGACAGCATCGATGGTAAGGGATGGGAGGATTTCATACCTGCTTTTTTCTTCTTAATTAAGCTACATGAATCTCAGGTCCTTCAAAACAAGGCTGTGGAAGGAAATTGCCCTGTAATCTTTAACTGCAGGAAGGGGAGGAAAGCAATGAGTGTCTCCAGTTCATCACCACCTAATTCTGGGAGAGCATCAAGGAGATCTGGCTTTTCTTAATGACATGCTGTGAGAAGAGCTCATGCCAGGGGTTAATTCTTCACCCCGTGTTTACCTCCGTGAGGACAGAGGCTGGGAAAGCAGTCAGCTGCTTTTATTCCATGGTCTTAATATAGAACAAAAGAGTAGTATTTTGTCCTAGATTTAACAGTTGGGGAAATAAAACTACGTGGGGTGATAGAAGGTTCTGTCACATACAAGAGGACAATGTCAGGATAGTTTAGGATATCTGCTTATTTTACAGTCACAGAAATATATTTAAATCATATCCCTGGTGCAGTCTAATGGGAAAGTAGAGCCTAAGTGAGTTATTGATTATTTTGCACATTTGATAAGGAAGTCAGAAGATAAATTATGTCTAATATACAGAAATAGATTAGAAGCCTCCCATGGGTTGTAACAGAAGTGCAAGCGTGAGAAGGTCTTAAAATAACCATCAGCTTTCATTACTGTAGGTACAGAGAGCCTTAAATTAGAGAAATACTTCAGGTGGAGATCCAGAGAGATGGGTCTGGTCCTTGCCTGGTGGATTTTTTGCCCTGATTGCTCTCAGTAGTTGGAGCATGTGCTCACCGCCCATAAGTAGCTGCCTTCCTCCATCTTCTTAGGTGAGCGTGGGAAGAAAACGTTCCAATTTAACAGAAAAATCTCAGGCACCATTTAAAGATTTAGATATTCTTCAGTCTACCTTACCCCAGTCTCCGGGGAGACTGTTCCCATGCCATTATGCATTTATGTTTCTGCACAGATAATTTCACTGATCGGCAGGCTGCTTGGAGGATTGCTGTAAACGTTTTTTTTAAACCACAGAGTGTGCACATCTTTGGCAGTGAGTGGCTTTGTATGAGCGTCACTGAATTGTTTCCAATATTCAGCTCCTCACCTGTCCGGTTCGTGTGTGCGGGCTGACAGACGGATGGATGGACGGACCGTGCTCTGTGTGAGAATGCAAACAGCTGAGCCAAAGCCTAATCCTCCCCCTGGCCTGCGACCTTTTTATTCATACTTGCACCTGGCAGGAGCAGCAATCATTCATGTATGTGGCCTCGGAAACAGCTGCAGATCTTGACACTGTAGTTAAATTTAAAAAGGATGATGCAGGCGTACGTGTGAGGGTGGTAAATTAACAAAATCCGTTGCTGGCCTGTCATAAGCTGACTTTAACGACAAAAGAAAACAGGCTTTTAAGCGGAACAGTTCGGGCTTGCAGCGGGTGTGCCAGGTCTCTTCTATTGAATATAATAAGGTTTGTGCAGAAATGTTTGCAGAATTGGGGCGTGGAGACCTGAATCTGTAGCTGTGATCCGCCGCAGGTCAGGGCTCTGGCTGTGCAGATGAAGCTGCGGCACCCTCGGGCCAGCTGGCTCGGGAAGGGGCAAGGGCACAGGCTTCAGCACGAGCCCTGCGGGTTGTCTGGCCAACGGCAAGTGGACGAGGAGTGGCTGTAGCAGTTGTCTCATCCTTTGTGCCGGCAGAAGCGAAGTGAGATCTGGCTGAGGAGCTTCTACAGGGGCTGTGTCATGCACAAGACTGCAGCTGAGATGTGGTCTCGGGGTAGATTGACACTGCAAATCCTTTCCCAGCACAACAATATTGGTATTTTATCCTGGCAGAGCAACTCCTAGCCTGGATCCGGCCATACGCTGTCCCTTGCCACCTGCTGAACAAGCTAAGCCAGTAGAAGTGCAGATTGCTGTATTTCCTGCAGCCTTTTTTAGCAGAAACCTGTGAATTCAGTTAGGAGTAGTCTGGCTATCCTGGCAGAAGGCTACACTGTAGAAATTATTCTTTTCCATGGAGTTAAACATAAGGAAAATCTATTCATTATGCAGGAGAAAGGCTAAGGCATCTGATCCTGTCTTCAAAAAGAAGCAATTTTTAACAAACAGAGAAAAATTTGAAATAAAACTTGCCAATTTGTAAATGTTTTGTAGCAAGGCACTGTAAGATAGCAGATGGAGGTGTAAAAGGAGTTTTGTTTTTTCTGCTGTGTCTAACACCTTCTTTCTACAGCGCTCATCCTCTGTTTTAAGAATAACACTTTTTCAATAATGACTCACAGCCAGTGCCACAAAAATCCTGGCTGTCAGAAAAACTGCTGGTTGTCTGACAGGAGTGCAGCTTGCAGGGAACATTGGTTTATTCTGCTTGTCTGTGCTGAAATTACAGCTCAGGGATCTTTCTTCTAGAAAGTGGCCCTACTTACAGATTCCAGGCACAAGGCAATTATCTATCTTTGCTTGCTCAATGTAATTAATAGATGTGGTTTTCTTCACAGGCACCAAGGGATGCCATGTTTGTCATGGAATGGACCACTTTGTCCAGAGGAAGGACAAGAAAATTCCCCAGGAAGTCAGGCCTCTCCTCTGGGAAGATGGATGAACCTGTGGTGTAGAAGTAGGGACTAGAATATTCTCCATATCCTGCTACATCTCTGCTCATCAGAAGAGAAAAGATAGCCTCTGCTAAGAAGGGGAAAAAAGACATCCTCAGGAATAATTCAGTACAGGAAGCTGGCAGAGCTACAGCCCTCTAGCACCTCACAAAATTTGCAATTATGTGTAAAGCTAAACCTTAGGAAAAGAGCAATTTTAGTCTTCCTGGCTGGCCTGAAAGTAACCTCGCTGCCCTGTGCAACACAGTTACTGCCAGAGCAGCTGCATGGGTAGAAACGCATTTTTACAGTTATTGGAGCAGGGAATTGTGCTAGGATTACTGGGTTCTTCCCCCAGCTCTGCCTTTGATTTGTGGTATGTGCAGACCCCTTAATTTGTTTCTGTTTTCCCCATCTGTGAAACTGAGATAAGATCACTAGGGAATTGTTGAGTGTGATTCATTAATGTTTATTAGACAGAGGGAAATCCTTAAATGAATGGCACTGTATTCCAGGAGGACAAAGTTCAAGACTGTAAAGAGGTTGATTAAAACCAAATCTGCTATTCCCAGGCTAGGAGGACAAAAAAAGAAAATTGAAAAACCTTGCCTACCCCTATGTTTGCCAAAAGCAGTATGTGATTTAAATAAAATCAAGCAGAATGTACAAGTGTGCATGCATTCATGCATACATATGTATCTATGAAAACCATTAAATACTTATTAGTAAATGTATACCAAAAAAGCATAATGAGGTTGCGTCTGAAGTTTCCAATAAGAAATAATAATGCAGTGTATATGATCATCATTAACTGTGTGAGTTACTAGTGGGAACACGGCATTAGTACATTGTAAGGCAATAAATATGATATGCTTTCATGAAGAGATGTAACACCATACATTCCATTGGCACATTCTGTTATGTACCTAAGTGAACAGAGCTATAGACTGGTTACAGTAACCTTACTGCTAGACTGACGTGCTTTTCATACTTATAGAGGAGCAAGTAAGTTATTTTAGGTAATTGCTACAGGAGAGCCTCAGATAGGAAGATTCACACCACACCTTAGTGTTATTCAAAGTAGGAACCTGCACGTTGCAAAAAAGAGCAATGTGTGAATGATGTGTTGGGAGCTAATGGACAGTTTGTGTACCTTTGGAGAAGGGATTTGTCTTTTTTTTTTTTTTTTTTTTTTTTTTTTTTTTTTTTTGTCAGATTGTTGCAAACACCTTGAAGGAATAAACCTGGAGACATAATACTGGTTATCTCTCCTAGGGGTGGTACTGTAATGAAAGAGTTACTGCAGTGTTCCCTTCTCTCCGGAAATATTAATAAGGAAGGGCAGAAAAACAGCCTATCTGCTGTGATTTTACAATGCCAGCTTGTAGACAGACTAAACAAATATATATAGGTTAGACATATCTGAAGTTGGCAACGCCAGGGACTGATGTAACCTTTTTCAAGATTCAGAATGTGTTGCAAGTGTTCCCGGCTCAGCCCTCACTGTGATGCCTGAGCCAGTGGGTAAATATTCCTCTCATTGTGTCAGAAACAGAAATCGAGGTGATTTGCGATAACTGGAGTCAGTAGGTGGCCTAAATTCTCTGCTAGTGTGATGACAAATGTACTGTGCAATTCTTGTCACTGATAGAGCCTAATGGAGGGTGAAACATTAACGTACACAGGACTTGTAAGGGAAACAAATGTGATGACGTACATACAAAACACAATGCAAAAAATTGTGCTTTAGCAGATGCAGTTGCGGTTGTTAGGCAGGAGTTGGGAACCTGGATTGCAGGCTGGTTTCACGTTAAGTGAACACCGCTTGCCACCTTCAGGTCTTCTGTGAATTCACAGACGTTGCCAGAAAGCAGGGACCCTCGGCCAGGCCTCGGCAGACGGATCCGAGCGTCCTCAGGGTGGTAAATCAGGGACACTCCTGATTTTACGGAGATGCTTTTCCCCTGTTGTGTCTCTTCCGTACACCGTGTCCATGGTGAGGGGCTATTTTACCCCTATTTTACCCACTGAGAGAGAAGCACTGGTTACGTGACGTGTGAGCAGTCTGACTTTACGCCACAGTTCAGCAGTGCCAGGCCCGGGGGGGCTGAGGCGCTGAGCCCCGGCTGTTGCAACGTCCCTCAAGAAGAGGCAAGTGCCTCTGTGAAAAACCGCGGCAGATTTGGCAAAGAAAGGACGAGTTTGGCTCACCGGGGAGGGTGAGGGAGCTGCTGTGTGGGGCAAGAGGCTGAGGAGAAGTCGGGGGTGGGGACTGTGGGGCGGGGCGGGGCTTGGAGTCACGGGGCGGGGCTTATGGAGGGCGGGGTTTATTGGGCGGGGTCTGCGGGGGAGGCGGGGTCTGCGGGGGAGGCGGGGTCTGCGGGGGAGGCGGGGTCTGCGGGGTCTGCGGGGGAGGCGGGGTCTGCGGGGGAGGCGGGGTCTGCGGGGGAGGCGGAGCGTAGAGGCCCGCTCACGCCGTCAGGCGTGCGTAGACGGGGGGTGTCGTCATCGGTGCGCGCGCCGGCGCTACTTCCGCGTAGGGTGACGTAAGGAAGCGGGGGGGGTGGTGGGGGTGGGGGTGTGGGGCCGGTGCTGTACCTGTCAGCGGGGGTCGCTGGGCCCCGCCGGGGTTCCTGGGCCGGTTCCCGCCGCCGCCGCCCCCCCCCCCCCCCTCAGCCGCCATGGAGGGCGCCGCGCTGCCCATCCGCCGGCACCGGCGGGCGCTGGTGGAGGCCGTGAGGGAGCGGCCCTTCCTCATCGTCACCGGCGAGACGGGCAGCGGGAAGAGCACGCAGCTGCCCAAGTACCTCTTCGAGGCAGGTAACGGCCGGGAAGGGAGGAAACCCCTGAGAGCCCCCTCTGCTCCGCGGGCCCGAAACGTGGGAAATAAGCACGGATAAACGCAGATAACCTTCCTGTTCCCTCGGGACACACACACACAGCGCTCCGGGCTGTGCCGATGCGCGAGTGGTGAGAGGAGGTGGCTTGATTCAGCCTCGTAAACTAATAAACTATGACCATATTGTGGAAAATGGCTCAGAAACAAAGTCAGGAGACAAGGTCTAGCAAAGCGAAGTTGTTCACTGCAGCACTGGGCGCACAGGAAAGGTCGGGGTTCTGCTAAGTGCGCTCGGCCGTGGTCTGTTCCCTGTATTTATAGTCCTTATCATTTACACATTCATCAGTTTTCTCAGAAATGTCTTACCTGTTCTATTACTTCAGGGCAATCATTAATATCAGATCCTCCCCGTCCGAGTCTGCGCAGTCTGGTTCGAGGGGTCTCTCTGGGGGTCTCAGGAGGAAGGCTCGGCGTCTTCCTCAGTCCTGAACTTTTGACTCCAGGGGTTGGAGCATGCTCCTTGCTGTGCTTGGTTATCTGACTGCTTCGGCTATCCTTCTAGGAATACTGTAGCACTAAACACAGCTGTACACAGCCCTAAACCCATCCGCCCAAGCCTTATCTCTGTTCCCCTTCTGATCCGGTACTTGGACACTAACATACTTTCCGTCCGCCTATATGGCTGAAGCAAAATGCATCATATTACATTTTTTTTATGACAGGCACGTTGTGCAGGTGCCTGTGTATACACAGACTCTGAGCAGCCTGACTCGGTGTCCCTCTTCTCCCCGACTCTCCCCTCAGGCCTCGCCAAGCACGGGGCCATTGGTGTCACCCAGCCCCGGCGTGTCGCCACCGTCTCGGTGGCGCAGCGGGTGGCCGAGGAGATGGGCTGCTCACTGGGGAGCATCGTCGGGTACCAGGTCCGCTTTGATGACTGCACCACTGAGGTAAGGCTCTGAGGTCCATGTTCCTGTGGGTGTTGTCATGGTGGGGCCAGTGGGCTGCAGCTCATTTTTTTTTTTACGTGCGGGCCTCTCTGTGGAGTGACACAGCCCTGCTGCCCCTCCTGGGGCTTTGCACACAGGAGGTCTCAAAGCCTTGGGAAGCTGTCTGTCCCAGCTGTGGTGGAGCTGCAGTTGTATGTGTCATATAACTCCTTTGATCAAGTTTTTTTGAACAGCCTACAAGTGAAACGTTGCCAAGCTCCTGTGGTGCAATCTCAGTTTGTGTTCTGGACAAATATGTGATCTATGTAGAAGCGTTCACTTTGAAGTAAAAATCCAGGATAACAGCTGAATGTCTAATTAAACCTTTCAGGATACTGCCATCAAGTATATGACTGATGGCTGCTTATTGAGGCAAATATTGGCAGACCCTCTTCTCAGCAAGTACAGTATCATCATTTTGGATGAAGCCCATGAGCGGAGCCTCAGCACTGTGAGTGTTGCCTTATGTCTGTCCTTTTGGGTCACTATTTCTCCTTTACTGAGGTCTACTTATGCCTTTCTTTCACTTCTGCATAATCCCCAAGGGTTTTGGCTGACTTTTCATGGATATGCTTTATCCTTTTGCTGTCCCGAGACCATAGAATTGCTGCTTTGTTTATTACATGCTGCATAATCTGAAAATAAGATGAAACCTGTAATCTTGTTGGAATTGTTGCAGCTGTTGTTGCGTTTGAAAACAGTTAAAACTTGGCTGGCTATTAGATACTTTCCCAAAATTTCCAGGAGTTTGAAGCCAGCACAGTGAACATAAACTTTCTAGAATCCTAATTTAAAAAAAACACACACAAACAAACAAAACCCTGAAACATCTCTCAGTCTCAGGCCTAATTTTTTCTCAGGGTGTATGTATGACTGTGCAAAGAGATTACAGCTTTTGGGATCATGGAAGTATCTAGACTGACCTAAGTACCAAAAGCTATCGGATGTCACTCTGACCCTTCTGTGGCAAGCAAAGTGTGACTCAAGTCACTTAGTCCTCAAGAGATTGTGTTGTGTGTCAAACGACCTACCAGTCCAGCAAACAATCTACCAGTCCAGCTGGGGAAAAGGGAAAATGATTTCTGAATCCCAGCTCTGCCCTCAAGCATCTGAGGGCATTGCAAGTAATTGAGCTAGAGTGGTGTAAGAAGTTACTGATCTATCACATGTCTAACTAAAAGGAGCAGGTTTTTAATCCAAAGCACTGCAAAGTAAAATAAACTTGCTGAAGTTGTTACAATAATTAGTACAACAAAGGAGGGTGCACACTCAGTCGGCTAATGTATGCTGGACAGAATTGATGACTTTTTAAAATGGGTCCAAGGTAGTTGCTTGCAAATGACTTGGCCATGAGAGTATAAAAATGAAAACCAGAGAATTTTAAGTTACACTGATTCTGTTTATAGGCTGTGAGAAGAGCTGGTAAAAAAATAATTAAATTACAGAAACAAATTAGCGAGCTGATGAGATGACCAGGGTAAGTGTATGTAGTCTTCTGAATGCTTAGGCCCTGAAGATGTGATTTCCTGTCTTCACTATATTGGTGGGATAAAATCAGTCCCCTCCAAGTTTGTCGGGCACTCCTAAGAAAAATGGGGTACTAACGTAAGTTGCTTCTGGTTTTCTGTTAGGATATTTTATTTGGTTTGCTGAAGAAATTATTTCTACAGAAGAAACCACCAAACAGGAAGACGGCCATGAAAGTGGTGGTGATGTCAGCCACTCTGGAGGTAGACAAGCTGTCGGAGTTCTTTGGACACTGTTCAGTGCTGCATATTCCAGGAAGAAGTTACCCCGTCAAGGAGATATTCTGCAACCTGCTCAGCCCAAGGGACATAGGCAGCTCTGCGTATGTTACAGAGGTCTGGCCTGTTTTACTTTGTTTCTGTGTTGTATTCTCTGTTCTTGGTGTGATTATCATCTGTGAAAGATGACAAGATTTAGCTGCTGTATTGCTGTGCTCTTAGCATCTCTGCAGGATATAGGGAAGGAATAGTTAGTACTATGAGTTTTAGAAAGAGTGAGACTCCAACTGTTACTGGCTTGTTTGTTGTTTGTTTCAGGCTGTAAAAGTGACGTTGGATATCCACTTAAATGAACCAGAAGGCGACATCTTGGTTTTCCTGACAGGTGCGAATTTTTCTTTCAACAAATGATGGTTATTCCAGGTGAAGTATGGCACTGCCAGCAAGACAGTACATTCTTCCGGTGACTGTCTAGTTTGTCGCAGAGCAGTAAGTAGAGAGGGGAAAGTTTCAGGCTGACACACACAGTCCTGTGAAGTGACAGTTTTCAGAGCATGTTTAGGTATATCCGTGCCTGTGACATCAGAGAAGACAAACATTAGCTTAAAAATTTGCATATGCTCTTTTCTTCCTCTGTCAAATTTACTCTGTGTTGTCTACGTGTTTTATTTTGTCAATAATTCAGAAAGGGAGCATTTCTTTAGCTGCAAAACCCTACATCAATCTACGCGACAGGCATTTATGCAGTCATCTTTTAAGGAGAAGCCTTGGTGAGAGGCACTGTGGAAAGACTGGATGTCACCTCCGAAGCTAACTCTCATAAATATTACTTCTTTCTTGTAATGGTGTTGATGAGTCTCTAATATTGGCAAAACAATCTTGTTTAACGATGTTGCAAACTAGGAAGGCAGAGTTGTAGCTTCATAGGTTGCTTAAATGCTCTTGTATGTTTTTTAGGTCAAATTGAGATAGAAAGAGCCTGTGACTTACTTTTCAAGAAAGCTGAATCTATTGATTACCGGTATGAAGTGCATGATCAGTCTGTTGAAGGCCTGCTTATCTTACCATTGTATGGGTCAATGTCAACAGGTAAGAGCATGTAATGTCATATGGAACTTAGTTAACATAAATGTTAACTGCAAGAGTTGTTATAAACAGTATCCTAATCAATTATTTCTGTTGTGGTTGGAAAAAATGGCATTCTTTAACCCATTTGTTACAGTACTGTAGCATGATGGGTTTTCTTGTGGTGTTCATAAACTAAACAAACTTCAGCCTTCTCTGTACTTGCACAGGAGCCTCCAGTTAAAATTAATATCCACTGGAAATGGCTTCACATGACATCAAGATCTCTGGCTTAGGAAGGGGATATTGTGTAACTGGAAGTTCAGATGTCTTATTTAGACTGTCACATTTTATTTTATAAGGAAAAGATATTACCGGTAGGTTTTTGTTGATGAGAGTAGACCTGTAAGGGAAGATAGTAGTAGTACAGTGTTACACAATATAGAAAAGTACAGGTTATCAGAATGAGTCAGTCTGTTTTATTTGGCAGCAATACCACAGATAGTTTAGAAGAGTTAAAAACAAAGGCCTTTTGACCTTTACTGAACACAGACATTGTATTTTCAGATGAACTTGAGTGCAAGGTTTAAATGTGTGGGTTCGGTATGTAGAATGCCATGAGGCTGAGTAAGTGTTCATAAGAGCAGGACAGCAATTTCCATCTGGAAGTGCCGCTGAGAGAAAAGATCTGGTAATGACCTGCAGAGAGGGAGCAAAATTTTTACCTTCTTGAAAGAGCAAAATGAAAAGGTGCATAAGCGAAAGAAGATTTACTGGAAACATGGGGGATTTAACTGAATCTTTTCATGTTCACTCTCACTTGCTCTCGATTGTTAAACCCTTCAAATCCTTCATGAAGATTCTGTTAAGACCAGACATGTTATTCATTTTTCCTAGCTCTGGGTTAGGAAACATCCAAGAAAGTTGGCCTTTCTTGATCTCAAAATCTTCTTGAATATGCAAGCGATAAAGAAGATATTCTCTGATTTCTGGCATCAGTTAAAATAATACCAAATCAATATTTTAGAATGTAATGTGATTCACATTCTAATTTCATTCAAATTAATTTCACTAAGCATTTGAGTAAGTTTGCACAGTGTTAAAGATGTGGTTTGAAATCAGAGCATTGTAACATAACAGACTGTTTGACTGCCTGCCTGTCATTTTAGATCAACAGAAAAGAATATTTTTGCCAGCTCCCACAGGCATTAGAAAATGCGTGGTATCCACAAACATTGCTGCAACGTCTCTGACGATTGAAGGAGTCAGGTATTGTTTCCTATCCTTCATAAAAGCTGTAACAGAGGGAATAATTCAGAAAGTTCTACTAGATTCGGAAAAACGCATCTGACTTCTGTTGCTATACCTGCCCAGTAATTAGCTGTTGCCTTTTTTTGTGCATGCAGTGAATAAACAAACCCCTGATGCTATCAGATAGTCTTGCAGATATTGTTGGACACTAGTTTGAAATCAGATCTCCGCTCCATTAAAGGAGCATAGTGTCCTTGGGTGCTGGGAGGTATTATCAGTAACGTCCTGTAGACTGAACCGTTGCAGGGCTGCAGCTGACCAGCAAAGCGCAACTACCTGTTTGCAGTGGTTGTAGGGTAAATATGTTCTTGCTTTGATGATATGCATGTGACAGTTACCTGTCTGTCTACTGAGACCTGTGTTTTCTTCTCTGACAGAGTATGAATCTTTTTCAGATATGTAGTAGATAGTGGATTTGTGAAGCAGTTGAATCATAACCCCCGAGTTGGCTTGGACATACTGGAGGTGGTTCCCATTTCAAAGTAAGTTTTAAAAAGGCCATGTGCTTGGTGTGTCTGGGAGTTGCTCTGACAATACTGTTTATTGGTTGATCTTTGTGGGGAGGGGAAAAATGAGGGAGGGGGTAGCTTTGAGGCTCTGTAATTTAAAGCCATTTTATTTGCTGCTAAGTAGAAAGTAGTTCAGGACATATAATTTCCTCTAAGTTACAGGCATTAAGAAGGAATTGACAATGCATTGTCTCTGTAGTCTGAACCGTGGTTCACATGTCACCTTGTATTTGCTGAATACAACAGCCTGATTCCGAGAAGCTTAAAAAAATCTTCTCTTGTACAGAAATGTTTCTTCATTCTGCTAGTTCTTGCGTAGCTGGATTTCTCAGTTGCTGCACGGTATAATATACCTTCTATCTACATGCACAGAAATTGCTGTTATTTATCATAATCATAGTGTGCTGCTTTGGATAATAACAGAAGGGATCAAGAGTTTGGATTTGTGTTTTTCACTGCCTTTCTGTTTTGGAAGGAGCGAAGCAAGGCAACGAGCAGGCCGAGCTGGCAGGACATCATCTGGAAAAAGCTATCGGCTGTACAGCAGAGAATTCTGGGAGCAATGCATGCCTGATCACACAGTCCCAGAGATCAAGAGAACCAGCCTGACCTCGGTGATCCTGACCTTGAAGTGCCTTTCTGTGCATGATGTCATAAGGTAACCTCCATGGAGGTGGGGGGGATGATCATTTTCTTCCCGAGTCGCAGCAGCAAGGCAGCATCGGCACCAGCAGCCTATTGGCAGGAGGCAGGATTAGGTCCCCAGCCACCTGTGGCACTTGGATACAATCAGCTTTTCTGCTGTTCTCCTTAGTCTTCAATGCCAGAGTGGATCTTGTGTTCAAGTTCAGTTTGAGGTTCTGCCAAAACTAGCTCTTTCTCTCCAAGATTAGTTATCAATGTTCCTTTTAAAATACTGATGTTTATATCCCCCAAGCTTCATCTCTATGGAACTGTTTAATTGTAGGATCATAAATTGCAGAAAATACGGTTCATCTTTGCATGTGCCATGCTGGGATTTGTCATCATAATTATTCAGCTTGAGGCTGTGCATGTAGTAACACACCCATGTATTGAAGATGCTTATGTACACTTTGGTCAGAAACCTGTATTGGAAGGTTACAAAAATATATTAATAAATACGAAAACTAACAAAGCTATACTGAGTCTGAATAGTGAGATTTTTAATTTCATTTTTTCTATAGATTTCCCTATTTGGACTGTCCTGAAGAAAGGCATATTTTAGAAGCTCTCAAGGAACTTTACCAGTGTGATGCTATTGACAGGTAAAGAATAAAGGGGTGTAGTTACTACAGGAATTTAAAATCTATTGGCTTAACTAGTGTGAGTTGTTCATGTGGACTAGAGGACTTCCTCCAGCAGTAGAATATCTTCCCTTATTAGACCAGGAAGTTAACTACTGGGTTTTAATATATCCTCTGTAGAACTATGGTTATAGCATGGCTTAGGACTTGAGAGTTACAGATTAATTCCTCCACATTGTCCTGGATTTCCCGAGTGACCTCAGACAAATTACCTCAACTCTCTGCTGTAGTTCCTGATAGCAGATCCCACACTGTTGTGACGGAGGTGCTTAGGCACTCGCTGTGAGGCCCATCCAAGAACTCAAGACAGGAAGCAAGATCTTATCCTAAACTTCCAGGAATTCTTCTTGGGGAAAAAAAAAAAAAATCTTATAGACTTCAAAAAGTATCTGATACACTTAAGCTGGCTTTGCCTGCCATGAAGCAGGCACAAGCAAACTGGAGAAAGGTGAAATGTTCTTCTGCTAGTGACACTTGCTTCATGTCTCCAGCACCTGTCTGGGCACAGATGGATTGCAGTGTTACAGCAGTTCAGAGGGAAATGCTTCCCTCGTGCTCTTTATCAATATACAGTGGCTGACATTGTGTGTGCATCTTCTGATTTGCATTTGAACATAGTTTTGTTGAATCTGTTATTTGAATCTTTTTCCTGGGATAAGGAGAGGCCATGTGACAAGACTGGGTGAATTCTTGGTGCAGTTTCCCCTCCCTCCCAACCTGGCCTGTGCTGTCATAAAAGCTGCTTCTCTTGACTCCGAAGATCTGCTGCTCCCCATAGCAGCCATGCTGTCTGTGGAAAATGTCTTCATTCGTCCAGGTAGGAAGCCCCTTATCCCAAAGCAGCCTTGGGTGGGTGGGGAATTCTGCTTGGAAAGGGACAGCTCCAGCAGTGGTTAGGCAGCACACGCTGCTTCACCTGGAAACCTCTTCTAGAGCTTTCCTCTGCAGGGTTTTTTGCTCCCAGTAGTTTTCTGTGCTAATAGTTTGTGAGGCCACAGTATCTTACAGGTGTATCTTAGAGAATCAGTTCCCAGTTTATAACTTGAACAATGGTAGCACAAGCTTTTACTTGAGTGTACGTAAGGATGCTCCTGCTAGGGAGCAAGCTGATCTTAGTTGGCCCCAACACTGGTAGGAGACAAGTATTTACCTTAAACTAATGTTTTAAATAACTCTTACGTTGCAGTATGAGGAAGATTCCTCAAGTGCAATGCCTTGTCTCAGAGTACCTCATAGCAGATCTGTAGGGAAGAATGGTAAGGCTAGGACAAATACACAATGCCACTTTGCCCGTTTGCTTTTACAACTTTCTGTGATCTTGGAGTCAGGACACAGTGTGCGCTAGGTATTGGACAACAGCTGTTCCAAAGACTTCAAAATATCATGGAATTGGGTTGCATTTGTCCCAGGTCTGTGAACTGTAAAAGCAACATATGAGGAAGTGAGTGGATTGCTGAGAGGTCACAATGGGGAAAACTGTTGCAGAAGGGAAAAGGAAAAAAAAAAAAACTACCAGAAAACCAAAATGCGCCAGGGCAGATGTTTTGCTGTTGGCCTAAGTACAGACAACAGGGACTGATTAATTTGTTTTTAATGAATGGGGTCACCTTTGGATTGGCTTTTTTGTTCAGTAATTCTGTTTAACCAAGTAGACCTTTTAAGTTACTGTGATAAGCTTAACTTATCACTGCCTCCATTCCCAGTGTCTTTCTGAATGGAAAATGTAATTTTGCTGTGGTTCCAAGCTAGCACTTTCCACTAGTGCTAAACTTGGTCTTCACATCTTCCTTCCTATCTCCTTTCCCCTCCGGTCTGCCCCCGACTCATCCCCTCAGCTGGGCTGCATATAGTCTTTATATGTAGCCCAGTTTCTGTGGGAGACCTTTGTCCTTTCTAGTCACTCATTGGCCCTTGTCCAGTTATGTCTGTAGTCTATTAACTGTGCCCGTTAGTGCAACAGCTAAAGACACTGCTGACAGTACTGATAGTCTGGGTTCTGCTCTGTGGTTCTTCCCATTCCCACCAATGTGTGTTGGCTTTCCCATCCTCCATCTGGCAATATGCCCTTGTTATCTGTTCAGCTAGCTAACACACACATGTTCGTTACTCTCCAGCAACCCCATACATTAAGATGCAAACACAGAGATTCCCATCCTCGGGGCACTTGCTCACGTGCAGTATGTATACGAACAGGCCTCCTTCCTTCATCAGTGATACTTTTAATACCCACAAACTTCTGACATCGATTGCAGAACAGCAGCAATGCGATGCATTGGCCTATGCAGCCGTGTCGCGCTCTTCTAAGGGGAGTAGGTTGTGCTGGGGAGGAAATTCTTTGGGTATTTAAAACTTGAAATAACACTTTGGAAATGTTGCTTTTGCCTAGTACATTCCTAGCATTTAGTGAAGGTGAATTCCCACTAAACTCACAGATCACATTTTTTCTAGACTCTTGTTTATTTTAAGACCTCCATTACTATAGCACTTCAGTACTAGGACAAAAGCTGAGTTAAATAGATTAGATGGTGATATGATGGGATGGTTTCAACAGTCTTTGTTTTTTCTCTTAGGGCAAAACTTTCACTTGATCTCTGTGACCTCTTTGTTTAAGGTCACTGTTCTTTTATCTTTCCATTTCAGCATCTGAATTGATTGTCAGAGAGAAATACATAGAACCTCTCTTCCTAAGAGACTAGAATTCTTCATCTCTAGTGCTGACTGATGAGATTAATCACAGATTCAACAGCATCTATGTGTTCTTGTTAAGCAGTAGTGAAAGGAGGAAGAACTGTAAATGCAGCTGTGGGGAAGAGGCAAATCTAAAAATAACATGCATAAAGAGCAAAGGCTGTCAAGCACACTTTGGAGTTGTGCTAACAGAAGATTAAGTAGGAGTGATAAATAAAAATTATTTTGTTAAAGTGAGATATAACTTACGTCCTCAGGTGATCCTCAGAAGCAAAAGGAGGCCGAGCTTCAACACCAGGAACTTTCCTCACAAGTGGGAGGATGCAATGACTTTGCAACCCTCTTAAATATTTTTGAACAGTGCAAAGCGAGGTATGAAATGGTTCCTTACAGTAAGTGGTTTTGCCTTGCTCACAACTCCCAGCTGCTGACGGTTTTTAGATATATTGCATATATGCACATGTATGTACTCATACCTAATTGCAGATTTATTCCTTATTGTGATCTGTAATTTCTATCAAGTCATCTATTATTTAAACTAACAAAGTATCTGGCTGTGTAGGTTGCCTTCTTTGTACGACTGTAACAAAAAATAGAGGCAACTTACAAAGAGCTTCTTTATAATACAAGTATTTTTGTTCTCAGCAAGTCTCCTTCAGCTTGGTGCCAGAAATACTGGATCCATTGGAGAGCTTTAAAATCTGCTTTTAGTGTGGAAAAACAGCTTCGGGAAATAATCACTAAACTGAAACAGGTAAAAAAATATATTTTTTATATATGATTGAGATATATAAGTTTCATATTTAAGACATGTACTCGGCCACTAAGCCTCTGCCAGATGGCTGCGGCCTTTCTCCAGTAGAAATTAATCCACTTAAATATTTATTAGAGCATCCTTGCTATAGCTTATGTAACTCACAGGTGTGATGGTGGTAACAAGCAAGAAGGAGGGTTTCCCTCCTTTCCTCATGGTTTCGGTAGAGTGAGAAACCCAGAGATGAGAATCCATGGGATGGAGGGGGATATAGGCAGTTTTTCTTTAGGAAAGATCCTGATTAACGTTGTTTTTTCTTTACATAGCTGCCAGACTTCCCTAAAGAGACATTTGAAGGCTCCAGAACTGAAATACTAAGAAGATGTCTGTGTGCAGGATACTTTATCAATGTAGCTAGGAGGTAAGTCACAAAGTTTGGAGAATTGAATGGAAAAGGTATTACACATATTCTTTAAAGGTGTAGCTGCATATTGAAACAGAATAGTAAGTCTGTATATTGTTAGAAGTAGCAAAGCAGCAATTGCAACTGAAGGTGGTGTTTCTGCACAGGGCTGGCAGCCTGGTAGGTACTCTGCTTTTGACTCTCATTACATTCCTGGGGAGGTTGCTTACTTGGAATAGTAGTTTTTCTGTCTGTGAAATGAACTTGCAAGCTGATAAGTAGTTCTAAATGCTAAACTAAGGGCTTGGATGTGTCCAGTTATCGTGGCTGTCAAGGACTTCAATCCCAAACCCTGTTTATTATTGTGGTGTTATATCTGCAGTGTTACTGTGGTAAATATTTTAGTCCTCATTGGTGGTGTTGTGTTTTGTTTTTTGGTTTTTTTTTTTTTTTTTACAGTTCTGTAAGGATCTTCCTCTGCTTATACATTTGAGTATTTTCTCCTATGCTGCTGCTGATTTGCTTAGTTTAGTGCTGTCCTTTGCTGTGATTAGACAACATTTTGGGTTTTGGTATTGTTTTTTATTTTATTTTTTTTTCCCCACAAACCTGTCAGATCTGCAGCCAGGACATTCTGCACAATGGACGGACATGGCAGCATAGTCTATATCCATCCTTCATCTACAGTAAGTTACCAAAGTCAGTTAATAAAGCAGCAAAGGATCTATAAAAAGAATGAGGCAGGTCCCTGTAAATTCTTCTTCCTCTGTTTGGTTTGTGCTAACTTATGGGCAGGAGAAGAATTGTTGCAGTGTTCGTTTTGAGAGTGGGGAAGAGCCTTGCTTCTTCAAATTTGGTAAATGTTTGGCTTATGAAACAAGTGTGACGTAGACTGAGCTTTCTCTCTGGCCTTTTGAATATCCTGGGAAATTTTAAGCAAGTCATGCCTTAGTTTCCTTGTCTGAAAATTTAGGGTAATGTCAGCTTTATCTCATTCTTGCATCTGAAGCATTGGAAGATACTCCAATGGAGGGTGCTCTTGAAATAAAAATTATTTTTTATCAGTTCTGAAATAATTTTCTAATTTTTCAGCTATATAACCAGGAGACTCGCCTTGAGTGGATCATCTTCCACGATGTCACAGTGACATCCAAAATCTATGTCCGGACAGTGTGTCCTGTTCGCTATGAATGGGTCAAAGACTTGTTGCCCAGATTGCATCAAATTGATGCATATGAACTGAGCAGTGTGGCACGGGAAGAAGTAACTGAAGAGGAAATAACCAAGTGGAAACATAAGGAGGACCTTAAAAGGCAGTATGGTGAGCACGTTACTAGGCCATATCTGTGGCGTGTGTAGTTTTCTTGGTGGTTGTAGACATGTGTGTGTATATTATGTCACTGAATGCATTCTGGACTAGTAGATGTTAATCTGGAACTGCCTAGCATATTCAGTGTGTAGCTCGAGTTGTTTTCTTGTCTTACTACAGCTCTGCAATCCTTTCCTGCCTCAGCAGTGCACATAGTGGTATTTTGCTTACTTGTTCTTGCCATGTTCCCCCTTTCTTTTAGTTTACTATAGCTGACAGGAGCAGAACTTTTAACACATAGTTGAATAAAATCATTTTGAGTCTGACCATTATTTAAATGTCAAGGGTATCTAGCCATAGATATCCAAAATAATACTGTTCAGAGAGAGAGAAATCCTAAGGGCTATGGGGCAGGGGCGACGAAAAAAAAAAAAAAAATCCAGAAAACCCCACCAAGCAAATAACACAGAGGAAAAAGTATCACATTTTGGTGAATGTCTCATTCTGACAATGAATTTAATGCCATATGCTTAAATAGTCACTTCTAATTAAAACTGGTGCCTGCTAACGGATCTGGCTGCTTGACATTCTTGGAATTCTTGTGTCAGCAGGTTTCTTAAAGCAGCCAAGTATTCAAAGGGCCTCTTTACTCATGAGCTGACCCTTCCAAAACATTGATTTAGTATACAGTACAAGCACTGACAATATAGATTCTCCTCAGTTTTCTTAACAAGAGGAAAAAAATGTGCTCAGTCCTGCATGTCTGTATCCTGTGTATAAAACAACTGTTTTAAATGATAAAAACATTAATTTGATTTGGTTATAAATTCACTGGAAAGAATATTTGCATTATTGGATAACACAGAGGAGCCTCATCTATTTATCTGAAGTCCAAGAAGCTGTTCTCTGTGTCCCCCTTAACTTTTTGACTTCGCCAAGCAATTGTACATTAATTTGAGATTAATATTGACCTTACAGATGGTGTATTTCTGCGAGCTTCATAAAAATAGGTGGCTGAATAGCTGACAGAGGCTTCATTAGTGCCCAATGGAAGGAAAGGCTACAGCATGAGCAGAATTATTACTTGACTGCAAGACAGATTACAAATATTCCAGTGAATAGTGAATGCTGATTAAAGCTCCTTCCTCATCAGGGAATTGTGCCCAGCCCCAGAGCCCTAGGAACAGGCTGCAATAGCTGCTTCATTCACATAATACTTAGGCTCTCAGCATCTTCGAATTAATTTTTTATTATTATTTTAAATTTTATTTTAAATTTAAAATATTTCCTGTGTTGCTTTTCTTCTGGGAGAAGCACTCCCAAGGTCTCAACTCAGTGGGAGAACGTGCATTTCTAATGGTGTCTGATCTGAAGTATTGACTTTTCCCAGTCCTTTATCTGTATGTTATCATCCCTCTTCCTCCTACCTCTGGGAATTTATAGTTTATTCTAAGATTTTTTTTTTTTTTTCCTGCTCCTAGTGCTGTCCCTCTCCTGCCAAAACTTAAGTTTAAAATGTGTAATTTAGAGAAGAAATGGGTGCATATAACACAAGATGCATAGTATCTGTTAGAGTAAAAAGCAAGATACACATTTGGGGACAAGATGAGCCCAGCTGCAAATATTGACATGGGAGTTAAGGCATGATTTTTTTTTTTTTTTTTTTTCCTCCTCCCTGCTGTGGTACAGTCTGTCCTCTCTGGAAGTCATTCAAATGACTGACTAGGACTTGAAAAACATTTGAGATAGCGTTGGGGGTTTTGGGGTTTTTACAAATAGGAGGAATTGTAATGCTGAGGGGGTTTTTGACACAGAAGACTGTATTTCTCTCTCTCCTCTCCCCCCAGAAGGAGTCACAGACAACTCTGCAAAGAAGATGGAGAGAAGGAATGATGATCAGTCAATACAGGATGCCCGAGCTCGCTATCTTGAGAGAAAGCAGCAAAGAACACAGGGTTTAAGTGGCCCAGTGACAGAAATGGGGCAATAGTCACAGCTGCTCTATTCCCGCTGTGAGAAAAGACAGTTTGGTGCAGTTGTTCTGGGTATGTTTGCATAATGCAAAATGACTAACTGGAATGAAGAAAAACTTCTGCTTTGTGGTAAGTTTGAGTGCTGAAGCATACAAACGCAATCTTCCTTAGCTGCATCCAGCAAGGAAAAGTTACCAAGCTGAATTTCAATGCTACTTGTCACTGACAATAGTTTAGTGCCCTCAAATGTGGATGAAGACATGATACTTGCTGTGGTGCCAATTCTGTGGCATTTAGTTGACTTAAAAAGGTCTTGGTGGTCTCAGTGCCATTATTAATAAAATTTTCTTAAAGGTTGTTTTTTTTAAAGGAGTGGAACTATTGCTTTTTATCCATTTTATCTGTATGATTGTGGCTATACAGTCTTCATGCTTCTGCACTGCTCAGGAAAATGTATAGGAAGTGCTCTTTTAATGATGGAAGCATGAAGATCTAAATTCAAAAGGACGTTTGCCACCTGCATTCTCTGTTGCAGACAGTGTTGTTCCTACTCTGTATTGTGCTGTACTGTGTACAGTGATGTTTCTGGGTGAAGATGTCTTTGTATGCAAAGTATTTTGTAAATGTTTTCACATTCTTGCTAACAATGCATAATTTTTGTCAGGGATGACTTAGCACTGTGTGTCTTCCATTTGGCAAAAAAAAAAAACCCAGCAGTGAATCCACTACTCAGCCAGGTTCTATCTTTCAGTCTGTCAGGAGGCCTGCTTTTTTCTGAGTTTGGTGATTGTTATTTTTATAATTTATGGATTTCAGTCTGAAGAAAGAGTGTTTCAAATGTGTAGAGAGAATACACAAGGAAATTCTAGCTTCTTTTCCTCAACTCAAGTATATAACAGAGCAAAGAGCTGTGATGCTGTGTCATCATAAAGTTTGTTTCCCTCGCGATAAAGAGGTCACCTTAATGCTAAAATGTTCCAGTGGTCTAGTGTGGAGCTTGTCTTTTTTTGCTGTTTTTCATTTGCAGTAAGTCACATTTTGTATAAGACAATTTCCAAAAAACCTGGAAGAACTTACTGTCTTTTTTCATGCCTTGGGTTTGTACACTGTGTGTCACCCTCAGTTGCTTTTCAGGTAGCTAATGCTGTTCAAGTGACGTTGTAAGGAAGCTTTAGCGCTTGGTGTAAAATGTTAAGCATTCCACCTCTACTGCACAGGCTGAAGCTGATCATAAGCTTTCAAAAACCTCAGGCTTCTCTGGGGAGTATGATAATATTATTCTTCATAAAGAAGGTAGTAGGTCTGATAATTGTCCCTCTTTCTGTGATTGTACCTATTAAAATGAAAAAGCTGAGGCTGGTCCGTGTACTTGCCAAACCTAGCGAAGAAAGTGTGATTGCGGCTGTGGTGCACGCCGCTGGTTGCCCTGCGGGGCCGAGTGCCACCGTGCGAGGCTGTGAAGAGCTTTAACTCAAGAGACACCGTGGCTGTCAATGGCAGGAGCAGGAGCAAGCGGTGCTGCCTGCAGCTGCCCTGCAGGTTTCTGTCACGGAGCTCCGAGCCGCAGGAGAATTGCTGCCGCGTGCCCCTTTTCTGTGCGTACGGAGCCCAGAAGCAGCAGCGAGATTAATGCCTTCCTCCTTCCTAAGGGTGCACGTGAATCAATTACGGGTTGTGATCAGCCTTTGTAGGAAGTGGCATGTTTACGGTTCCTCTTTCGTTGGGCCCTTTATCCTGAGTTCAGATAGAAAAGGGTTTTGTTCTTTCACGCTGATGTCCAGACGCTGCTTTTGAGAAGCCAGCCCTCTTTCTTGACTAAACCTATAATCTGAAACTTGCAAAAGCCCACAAATTATTGCTGTTTACTTTGAGATTGTATTTCCAATGTCACAGCCCCTTGAAAGTCAAATGACATCTGCACTACACACTAGGTCTGAGATCAGTAGCTAGAACGCCTACTCCTGCTTGGGGCTATATATCTCTTGGCAGATCCTAATGCTTTCTTTTTTTTTTTTTTTTTACTTAGTAGCAAAAAGGGAGGGTTTTTTCCCTTATGTTCCAGGGCTGCTCAGAGATTTTGAAATTGTGAATTTAATACAAAGTAAAAAGGGTATGAAGAAATAACAATGAGATTGCAAAACAAAAATAAAAGAAAAGCAGGGGTCAGGTCTGCCGGCGTGCCTGTTCATTACTATACACACAGCCTCTGGGAAAGTGCTGCAGTTGGGTGAAGAGAGTTAAGTTTTACCTCTTTTTAGGGGCCGGAGTTACATTGTAAGTTAATAAACACAGAAGGCAGTTTGAAGTTTCATTATGTTCCTGTACTTATTAACAGTGTTCCATGGGTAGTCATTGGGACCATCCCTGGAGTTTCAGGGGACTGCTGCAGCCTCGGGGGCTGTTCGTTTACACCCCGTCATTTCGGTGAAGGAAGGGAGGAAGGTCGGTAGCAAAGCATGGTCTTTCCCTAGTTTAATTCATTTTTTTGATAAGGATTTGCTAGGAAAACCACCTCCTCTACCACTGAGGCACTGTGCAGTGCAGCAAACATCAGGGTTGGCAGCTGGGGAGGTTGCTAAAACGGGGGGAAAAAAAAAAAAAAAAAAAAAAAGAAATAGCGGGCAGAGCCTGAGGAGGAAGGGCAGGGTCCCTACCGGTGGCCCCGGGAGCTGCCGGGCTCCCGGGGGAGGGAAAAAATCGCTCCTGTCCCCACCTGGGGCTGGGTAAGGGCCGGGGCCTGGGGCTGGGCCTGTCCCCGCCCGTTTCCATGGCAACCGCCCCCTCCCCGGTCCCGGGCGAGTCACCTTGCCCGGCTGCTCTGCCCCCGCCGGGGCGACGAGCGCGGAACGGAAGTGACGCGGCCGCACCTCGGTCGCATGATGTGGCAAAAAAAAAAAAAAAAAAAAAGGAAAAAAAAAAAAAAAAAGGCCGAGATGATCCGAAATAGTCCCTTCCGGTGGCGGATCCCTCCGACGCTCCCATTGGTTCCGGAGCGGGTGAGTCACACCGCTTTCCGGAATCCTTCCGCCCAGCCGGCGCAGTTAAGGCCGGTCCCGGCAGGTGAGGGCAGGCCTCTTCCTGCCGCCGCGGTATCCTTCCGCCGGCGGGGGCAGCTTCCGGATCGCCGCGGCCCTTCCCAGCTCCTCGGCCCGCTCCGCCATTGCGGTCCCGCCGCCCGGACCCCGCTGAGGTGCGACTCCGGTCCGGCCTCGGACTGGAGCCCCAGCCCGCTGCCGCCGCCATGGCCCAAATCCTGCCGATTCGCTTCCAGGAGCACCTCCAGGTGGGCGCGGGGAAGGCCGGGCCGGAGGAACGGCGAGGGCCGGGGGCGGGCGGGCCGGCCTCTCTCTCAGGCAGAGGAGCCGCCCGGGGACGGCGCTTCGCCGAGAGGCCGCGAGGTGTGAGGGCCGGGGGAGCGACCCGGCAGCGGGGTGGCCGCCCTCCCGCGGGCTTTACCGGCGTCTGGCTCGGGCAGCGCCTTCCCGCCGCGAAGGGCACCTTCCAGGCCGTCCACCGCCGCCTCCGTGCGGGCCCGGCCGTGAGGGGAACCGCTGAGGCGCCGCGGGGCTCCTCCTCGTCCTGGGGAGGCGGCGGGGGGGTATCCAGCCCCTGCTCTCGGCCGCTGCGGGCGGTGGGGTGTGTTTCGTGCCGGTGGTGTGGGCGAGGCGGGCGCCCAGGCCGCGCCAGCACCTGCGGGGAGCGGGGGGGGGGTCCCACCGCTCCCGAGGGGGCGGGCGGCAGCTCCGGGGCAGCGCGAGTGGGAAATCCTGCTTCGGCGCGGGGTCTGCAAGGGAGGGGGGGCAAATTAATGAGGAGGCCGAGTTGTCTCCACCTATTGCTTAATTTTAATTATTTTTTAAAATGAGACTCAGACTTCTTATAATCCTGAGGACCTATGAAATTATTTTATTGATGTTCCGGCTTGTAATGTCATCTGTGAAGAAAAAAAACCCCACATATTGCAGTGAAATGTAGAAGCTGCTGCGGGCTTCCCTGCAGTACAGCTGTGGCAGTGCAGGCACACAAGTGCCAGGTCTACACTTTGGTGTCTCCTGACCTCAGAGAAACTCTAGGTTTGGGTGTCATTAAACCATAACCAGATGCTAACAGATTATTTCCAAGTGATGACATTTAGTTTCTTTAAGGTGGTCTTCTAAAGGCACTAGCAACAAATCCTAGAATCGCTCCACTGCAGGAATGCAAGGTTACCTTCCCAAATCAGCACCTCTAATGCCTCTTGGTGAAGCTGGAGTGCAGGGCGGGTCTGGAAGCAGTGTCACAGTTGTGCAATGTGTACTTCCTATCTGACAAGTCTATAGGGTGAAGTACTATGAGCCATGCTTCTCATCCTGAGTAGCTGTAGCAGTGAAGGTGTTAAGCTCAGCTACACCACTGAGCAGTATTTTTTGAGGAGAACTTTTATAATAAAAGTTACATTGACATACCTAGGCAGCATCTTCTAGCAACCTGTCTGTAGCCCTGCTTCCCTGTGATGTCAGTGTCTTTATGCAGTTTGTGTTTACCTAACTGAGACTGCGATGGGCACTAACATACTGATAGAGTTGTGTGATTTGTAGTGACTTTTTTCTAACCCAAATGGAAATAATTTAATTTCTAGGCACCTTGTTAAAAGAACAATTGCAAAATACTTACTTTAGCCCTGTCTGTAGTGTTATTTTTAGATTTAAAGAATGCTGCCATGATTGGTTTTTATCTAGCTAGCAAACTGCTGAGCATTGGATAATTTTGCTTCAATATCAGTTTAAAACCAAGCCAGCATTCATAGCTTGGGTGTAGTCCTGGACTCTTTAACAAGCAGCACTGACAGGGCTATCTCATAAGTTGGCCAGAGCTTCAGCTCCGAGCAAGTGTTTTCTTCTAGTAGTGGCAGAGCCTAGAACTGGGTGTTGAGAAGGTTCTGTATACTCAGGTGAAACTCATCCCTCTGGGTAGCCCAGCTCTTAATAAAGTATTGTGGAAATGCATCTATGATACATTATTTAAGATACAAACTTTGCATGTGACCCACTACCAGGTCTCTAATGACATGAGTACTATTACATAATGAAACTCATCTGCTTCTCTCCAGAAGTGCTGATAGGTTTCAGGCCAGCACTGTTGTGGGACATGACTGTTCTGACTAAAGACCAGCTTATCTGTGGGTTTTCATTTTTTTTTTTTTTTTTTTTTTTTTTTTTTTTCCCCTGTTCCTATTTGATATAGAGCACTGGTTTAACTAGTGTCTTTTACAACTGCACATATGAGCTAGTCTTTTGTAAGACGGGGTGTCCAGCCTTCGAGCCTGCACGCACGTGGCTCTTGCCCATAACGCTTCAGTTAGCTGCACATACTGAGCTTCCTCTTTTTATTTCATTGAAAAAATTTGGAGGAACTTGAATTCTCGGAGGTACTGTTTTCACGCTCAACCTTCTGACCTGCTGTTGGAGTAAATTTTGAGAGCAGAAACATTGGTATTGCTACATTTTTGCTATCCAGAACTGCTTTAGGGTATTCCAGGCTGACCATAGGAGGTCCTCATGGACTCAGTAATACAATTTCTTGAACTGTGCCTGACCTACATTGTCTAGGAAACTTGTCATACAGGTGTTGCGCAACATGTGCAAGTTTGTAGCTGGTGCTTAATGAAAGAAGGTACTCAACTGGAGCCTTATTTGTAAAAAGGCAGGTGATGGATATAAATGAGACAGTTATTGCTAAACTATTATTGAAAGCTGGTTTTAATTAATCTAGAAGTCAACAGTACATGTAGTAGGATACTAATTCTCCATGGATCCACTACTATAAGTCAGGAAATGGTCAAGTAACTGTCTCTACAAAGCTTGTCTTGATTTTTCAGCCTCACCCCAGTTGCATTCCATATTGCACCACTCAGGGCACGCTGGCATCATCTGTTGCTGTTAGCATCTTAGCTAGGTGATATGGGAGTGAAGAGTTAAAAGGCTCCAGAGGCCCTGGGCTGTTGTTCTTCTGAATGCCTTCTGTCTTGGGTACGCAGTACAGCATGCTCTGTACCCCCAGTTTGAGCTAAAGGTCTAGTTGGGCAAATAAGATGTGGCAAGTAGTTAGCTTACTAGGGTTAAGTGAGCTTTCTGGGTAGTTACTAAGTGAAGTCTAAAACCAAAATGTGTAGTCAGGCTTCAGGTTTTCTTTGTTTGAGTCCCAGTACATAGCTCTGAAATCGCAGTAGTCACTTGCCACAAAGGAACATCAGCAGCACACTGTGGACAAACTTTTGCCTTGGGACTTTCCAAGGAGAAACTTGATTCCTGTGCTGACAAAACTACTGGGCTCATGTTATAAAAATCCATAGTGCTACTTTAAAAAAAAAAAAAGTAACTGTTGAGGAAACGGTCCGGTGGGCATATAGTGGGAGATCAGAGTTCAGTGTGTTGAATGATTGCAAATCTGGTTCCTCATATCCAGGTTTTAGGGATTCTACAAGTTGATGCCTCTATGTTTTTGAGGGTGAAAGTAAAACATAGCGGCTTACTGTGGTAGGTGCCTGTAGCTTTTCTAAGATTATACGTTCCTGATGAATGAGAAAGAACCAGACTAGTAAGCAGGTGATGAACTGTGATTGCCAATTAGTTTAGCCATACTACCCTGAAATATATAGCAATTGAACTTGGACCTGGCACACTGCTGTCCTGGTGTGACTTAAGACATTCATAAATACTCTTTGGAACCTAAATATATTTTTTAAATTAAATTATTCTGTTGACTTGTCTAGACAGTACAGAAAACCATCATCTCATGCTGTGCGCTTGATGCTTAGACAGAACTACTCTTTTAAACTAGGAGAAGGATTCTTTTTGTCATTGATGGAGCAAACCTGAATGATAGATGTGCTGTCCTAGTGTGATAGTACTTGTATAGCTCTCAGAATCATAACTAGCTGTGTCAAAGAGCTAACTGAATAAAACTGGGCAGCTGAGGCATCATATAACAAATTTATATATTTATTTACTTATAAATTTCCTACTTGACTCTAAGAATGACAAACAACAAAATTATTCCATGTGTTGTGCTGGCAGTGAGACAGGTAAATATATCCTAACACACTAAATCTCTGCTATAACACATTACTTTGAAGCAGTTAAGTCTTTTGTTGGTTATTTAAGTCAGGAATTAAAGACAGGACTCTTGTGC